TCATATGTCATGTTTTCTAGACCTTTAATCATTTTTGTTGCTCTTCTCTGGACTTTCTCCAATTTGTCCACATCTTTCCTGAAATGTGGCACCCAGAACCGGACACAATACTCCATTGGGGCCTAATCAGCACGGAATAGAGTAGAAGAATTACTTCTCGTGTCTTGCTTACAATACTCCTGCTAATACATCCCAGAATGATGTTTGCTTTTTTTGCAACAGTGTTACACTGTTGACTCATATTTAGCTTGTGATTCACTATGACCCCCGGATCCCTTTCCGCAGTACTCCTTCCTAGGCAATCATTTCCCATTTTCTGTGTGTGCAACTGATTGTTTCTAATGGCACTCGGGTCAGGAGAAGGGTGATGTGGAGCTGGAGAGGCAACATGAGGGTCAGCTGTAGCAACCACTTTGACAAGCGGAAACCAGTGTTGCTAATTCTCACAATATTATTGAGAGTCCTGTGATATTTGTAGTTTTATAAAGTCTCAGCTCCTGATTTCATGTGATTATGTTAGAATTTCTGCTTTCATTTTTTTAAAGCATCTAGCCATTGTGGTTGCAGGAAAAAGCTTGAAAACATGACTTGATCGCACCTTAAGGACTCAAAAGGCAACTAAAAAGAACCCCGAATCTATTGTTTTCAGAAAATTTCATGACCTTTTATGCCAATTTCATTATTTTGGGAACTTGGGGGATAGCAATACTGAGAAATTGGAGAGGTAGGCCAAGAGGAGAGAGACGGGAGAGCAACAGGTTAGATCAAACCATTTCAGCACTGACTGAAACACTGCGACCTTTTTATTTAAATGTCCCTCAAAGCAAGAAGAGGGGCATGACTGGAATTTGCTCTGCTATCCCCCTGTTAAATCTTCCTCTAATGGGGGGCTGAGGTGGACCAAATGCAAGATGCAAAATTAAATTCTGTGGTCTGTGGTTGCTGCTCAGGTCCAGATGCGGCATTGCATGTTGGGACCTGCAGTCTCCACAGGCCATATCTCCCTATTAAAGAGGATGTTGGCTGCAATGTGCTTTACTTTATGCAATGTATATGTGACTGTGATGTATATGTGACTTGCAATAGCCAGTGTAGTCCTTGAGCAAAATTTGTTTGCCCATTAGGTTTAATGCGTAGGAACAGTTTGGTTATTCTCTGTAAAAACCACCTAAAAAAGCTGGGGGGAAAACTTTGCAATGAGAGATTCTTCTAAATATAGATATGGTTCTTTTTTTCCTTCTCCTATCAGTAGATTTTTTGCTGTCATAGAAACAAGTTATTTCTTTCCTCTCGAAAAGCTAATTAGAAACATGATGAGAGAAACCTCGGATGTAATTAGAAGAAAGTCTAATAGCGAATTCAACTCACCAATGTAAGGCACATCCCGAAACCTGGTCTTAATTTTTACTGTCATCCTTGAAATATTGAGTGGAGTAAAGATTTGCTTAATGGGAGTAACCTTGTTCCTAAGTGGTCAGTGAGGCCAGATTTCCAATACAAACCAGCTCTGTTAAGCAATAAAGAAGACTTGAAGTTGCTATCCATCTTTTTATCTCCAGCTGAATATCATGATACTTGAACTAATGCATAAATATAGAGAATTCCAAGTTAAAATATGTACAGCAGTATTATTTTACAAAGATGTACACATGACTCAAGTTTTTGATCGTCAATGACCCTCTTTGTATTCAAAGAGGAAGTGTTGTCTTTTGGTCAGCCATGGGGATGGGAGTAAGATTTCCTGGATTCTATTTCCAGCTCTGCCATTAATTTACTGTGGAAGAAATTCATATCCTTTGCACAATATCAGAGTAATCAGGCTTTAAGCAAGAGAAAAATATGGGTGGGGGTGGGTAACAGAATCTCCTTTTCCCCCAGCCACAAGGCAGGGCCTGGGACAAAGCACTTTTGAGCTGTATTAAGGACTATAGACTGCTGGACCCTGCCATGTATAACCAATAGACCTATATAGTCATGGACCCACCAGCTGAAAGCATGGTAGGATTTAAAAATAGAATTGTATGTCTGTATGAATAGTAACATCCATAGATACATTAAATAGATGAAAAAATTATAAACATAAACCCTCATGGCTCAGGGCATAAGGCAGCTACTAACTTCCTGAAGTTAAGAGAAGCTTTTCCTCTGTGAGCAGGTTACTCCATAATTGTCCATTATGGGTTGTTGGGGTGGTTTTTTGTTTGTTTGTTTTGGCCCCTTTTTCTGAAGCACCTGGTATTGACTAGTGTCAGAGACGTGGCACTGGTCTAGCTAAACATTGGTTGATCCTGGTATCTCCGTTATGTTGGAATAGCAATAAGTGATGTGAAAGTAACAGGAATTATAAAACATATAGCTATATCTTGACTACTAAGACTGTAAAAACAAGCATTACAGTTTTTCATTCGGTGGATTACTGCACCTGTTGATCTGGGTTTTGCCACCCCCTTGTTGGGTTGTATAATGTAATCACATGGGTGTTTGGTGCAGAGAAGAAAGACTCGTCTGTTGCAGGGGCCAGAGAAGGGCTTAATTAAATTTGCATTAATATCTAAGGATATTTATAGTAGGGAAATATTGGAATTTTTGATGATATTAAGATATACTTTTTAATTAAATTCAGCCAGGTGCACGGCAGAGGGTGATTGAGCTGCCGAGCAATGCAAGGGGATCCGGGGAAAACAGACTTTTATTTAGAGACATAATCTGCTATGGAGGTATCAGGAGCAGCTGGGAGGTGGGAAGAATGCTGGTCAAATGTTGCTGCACCACTCTGTCCTGTGATTTTGTATGAATAAAAACAAAACTAATTTTTGGACTATATGCAGTTTGTTGGACACGAATGAAAAATGCTGTGCTTGGTTGCTAAGTTCCCTGCATATGAAGCAGGCTGAAGTCCACTCTGCTAATTAACCTGAATTCATCACATCCATGCTGAATAAAAGAATATACTAACTATATAGTATACTAGTTTTTATAGCAACCATGTTTATGAGGACCTCTTCTTCCCTCTTCTCAATGGCTGCTAAATACAAATCCTTTAAATACTAATCCTTTCAATATAATTCATTATAAATCAAATTAAAAACTGAAGAACCATCAGATTAAATATATTTTTGGAGCTATTGAGAACACTTCTGTGTAAAGACAATTGCATATGCCTCAACTTCTGACAGTGAGTAGCAAAGCTGTTAAAAGAAGAGAGATCTTTTAAAGAAAAAGATACAGGGCCTGATTCAAAGCCCTTTCTGTTCATGTCCACAGAAAGACTCTCATTGACTTGAATGGGCTTTAGATCTAGGCTTTTATTGCATTTCAGTGCAATTTAGTGAAGAGAGCAGTAGGACAAAATTTTTCAAATTTGGATGCCTCAAATTAGCCACATAAATCCATATTTAGACTCCTAAATAAGTGGCCTGATTTTTCAGAGGTGCCAAGTACCTGCAGCTCTCATACACTTCAATAGGGAAGGTGGGTGCTCAGCCTGTATGGAAATCAGGCCTTTTTTTTTTCTTTAGGTATCTAAATATGGATTTAGGTGGCTAACTTTTAGGCACCCAAATTTGAAAAAAATGGCTTAGGTCAATTTACTAGATGAGGAGCTTGATTCTCTTCTCACTCCTATGGAAAGTAACCCTTTTGAAGGCAATGGAGTTACACTATTTAAAACGGCCAAAGAGGAGAGTCAGGTCCCAGGGGACCCAAACTCTGTGATGCCAAGGGCCACACTAGCATTTGCCAGGAGCCAGAGGGCTACGCAGAGGGCTACTCTTGAGCCAAAGAGATGTTTAGCAACATAAACTTTCAGTGAAATCTATGGTCCTGGTCTTCTCTTAACTCCAAATAGGAATTGTGGTGCTTAAAACCTCTCGGGTTCAAACTCCTTCTTCATATAGAAATTTATTTTTAAATAAATAAATGTAGACAATATTTATTAGAACATAAGAATGGCCCTACTGGGTCAGACCAAAGGTCCATCTAGACCAGTATCCTGTCTTCTGACAGTGGCCAGTACCAGGTGCCCCAGAGGGAATTAACAGAACAGGTGATCCATCCCCTGTCGCTCATTCCCAGCTTCTGGCAAACAGAGGCTAGGGACACCATTCCTGCCCATCCTGGCTAATAGCCATTGAGGGACCTATCCTCCAGGAATTTATCTTTTTTTGAACCCTATTATGGTCTTGGCCTTCACAACATCCTCTGGCAAGGAGTTCCACAGGTTGACTGTGCATTGTGTGAAAAAATACTTCCTTTTGTTTGTTTTAAACCTGCTGCCTATTAATTTCATTTGGTGACCCCTAGTTCTTGTGTTATGAGAAGTAGTAAACAGCACTTCCTTATCTACTTTCTCTACACCGGTCATGATTTTATAGACCTCAATCATATCTCCCCTTAGTCGTCTCTTTTTCCAAGCTGAAAAGTCCCAGTCTTATTAATCTCACCTCATACGGAAGCCATTCCATACCCCTAATTATTTTTGTTGGCCTTTTCTAAACCTTTTCCAATTCCAATATATATTTTTTGAGATGGGGCGATTGGTAATTGTTTTTGCTGTGATCAATTAATTTAAATTGCTTATTTGCCTCCATAAACCATAAAAATCTGGAGTTGATTAGCTTTGTCATCACTTTGCAGCTACAGAAAGAGAGTGACAGTGAGCATCTGTGGGGCATGTTTTAGGTTTCATGGGTCACATTTGGACTTCAGGCCACAGTCTGGCTGTCCCTGTGGTATACACTGTATTCTGAAAGGTAGATTCTATAAAGGTAAAATAGCTCCAACTTACAATTGGCATTTTAAAAATTAATATATGCATATGTGCCCACAGACAATATGATAGGCGCAAAAATATCTAAGGATACATATTTTCTAAATATAGTATTTGTTTTGTTTTTATTCACTGAACTAGTAAACATGAATCAGCAACTGATATTAAATGGTGCACTGTCACTCCTTTTACTTATTCTTTCATTGAGATAATGCTGGAAATTCTTGTAAAGGAGAAGAGCTGCTTTAAAATGTTCCCTGAGCCATTACAACTGAAGATTAAAGGGATGATCAAACTAGTGGGGGGGAAAAGCTGGTTGAGTTTGAAAATGCTTCAGATAGTGATTTTTTTCCCCTGGTTGTTTGTTTCTTTTCCAGGACCTGCTAACGAGACACAAATTGTTGGTAGCAGATTTCCTAGAACAAAATTATGACACAGTAAGTACAAATAATTTCCATCCTTAATGGTTTCATATATGTTCCTGCATACATTACTGTGAGGAGTCCACCCTCACTTGGATCTGAACTGGAAAACTTTTGTAGTGGCATTTCGGCTCCACTCAGAAAAAAATATTAAAAATAAGTGGATCTTCTTGATTCTTTGTGTCAATCAGAACTGTTCATTTAACAGCACAGTTCCTCCATTTCCCAGGCGAGGGATCCAGTTGGGACAACAGCAGCGGGACTTCAGGGAAGATGCCTGTACTTCAGCAGCTAGTTGAATCCTACTTTCTAATCTGCTCATAAACAGAGCATGTGTAGCTGAGGGCTACATGCTCCACCTAAAACTTTTACTTAGAACCAAGCATTGCACCCTATAAGCCAAAATAATTAGTTTTACCAAGAGAGAATCCTCCTTAGCCATCTGTAGAAATAACGCTTATATCCTGTTTACAGGCTTCCAGATTTCTAGTACAACTCCATGTCAAAAGCAAATCTTGTTTAGGATGTGGAACAGTAGAGGGGAAGAATCTATTCTCGCTTCATTGCACACAACATAACTACATTAACACTAGTGGGAGCTACACGTGTGTACAGATATTAGACTCAATTTTATTTTTAAAATATTTACCTTTTGCTACAGTTTGATTCCATCTGGTCAGTGTTAGGGAATAGCTAGTGGTCATTCATGTCCCAGTAATGCTTCAGGATAGAGGACAAGAGTTACTAGAATTTATTTTAGTGTTACTGGAAATTATGTCTCTGTAAATCCCAAGGGATTTTGAGATGTGAATATACCTGTTATCATCCTAAGTAAGTTAGTCTATTGGTATATTGCCATTTCTCTTTGGTTTAAAATATCTCGGAAAATCAAGTGTAGGTCAGAAAATTCTGTTGGAATCAACTGAAATTGGGCTGACATGGGTGGTGGAATTCGACAGAAGATTAAGTTGTCATGTTACCTTCAAGCTTGCATGCTGCTGAGTCACAAATGCAGTGTGACTCAGGCAATTTGTATATCTTCACTTATTCTCTATATCTCTGTACTAAAGCACTGTGATAAAATGACTGTCTTGAGTTTGTGTAACACTGATGCTCAAAGTACATGTAGTGGAGAATAATGTTCTTCAAAGGACTTCCAGTCAACAAACAGAACTCTGTTTTTTCAGCTAGACAGACTGCTACATGTTCAAAACTATCACTGGTACCTCTTTGAATCATAGAAGATTAAGGTTGGAAGAGAACCTCAGGAGGTCATCTAGTCCAACCCCTTGCTCAAAGCAGGACCAACCCCAACTAAACCATCCTAGCCAGGGCTTTGTCAAGCCGGGCCTTAAAAACCTCTAGGGATGGAGATTCTACCACATTCAGATAACTCATTCCAGTGCTTCACTACCGCCCTGGTGAAATAGTTTTTCCTAATATCCAACCTAGACCTCCCCTACTTCAACTTGAGACCATTACTCCTGTTCTGTCATCTGCCATCACTGACAACAGCCTAGCTCCATGCTCTTTGGAACTCCTTCAGGTAGTTGAAGGCTGCTATCAAATCCCCCCCTCACTCTTCTCTTCTGCAGAGGAAATAAGTCAAGTTCCCTCAGCCTTTCCTCATAAGTCATGTGCCCCAGCCCCCTAATAATTTTCGTTGCCCTCTGCTGGACTCTCTCCAATTTGTCCACATCCTTTTTGTAGTTGGGGGGGGGGGGAAAGTCTGCTTTTCTGCCATCCAGGATCCGTATTCTGCTGCTCTCCTTTCTTTCTTTTGTCAGGATCCTGAACTCGACCATCTCATGGTCACTGCTGCCCAGGTTGCCACTTCTACTTCCCCTACCAATTCTTCCCTGTTTTGTGAGCAGCAGGTCAAGAGAAGCATGGCCCTTAGTTGGTTCTTCCAGTACTTGCCCCATCAAGTTGTCCCCAACACTCTCCAAAAACTTTCTGGATTGTCTGTGCACTGCTGTATTGCTCTCCCAGCAGATGCCAGGGTGATTGAAGTCCCCCATGAGAATAAGATACCTGGAGACCAAAAGCATAATCTGTTCCTGTTTGGCCTGAGCCTGTGGGGTGTGTTCAAGCCAGTGGAGCTGAGGGCAGGCAGCATCTTGCAGGAGGCACCCACACCACCTTGCAAGATTGGGCTCACTCTTTTTTCAATAAATGGAGACATTGGGTATGTCTACACCACAAGGAAAAAAACCCTCACAGTAGTGAGTCTCGGAGCCTGGGTCAACTGACTCAAGTTTGCTGTGGCTAAAATAGCAGTGTAGATATTCTGGCTTGTGCTGGAGCCTTGGTTCTGTTACCCTTCCCAGGTTTCAGAGCCCAGGATCCAGCCCAAGTTGGAACATCTATATTTACTCCTCGGGGAATACTGTGCATGCTTCCCTGCAGAAAAGTGACTTTCTGACAGGGAAGCTGCAACAGCAGCCAGACACCACTCCTTAGCTGCGCAGTTACATCATTTCAGGCACTTGGAGCAGCTGGCAGAGAGGTAAATCACCACAGGGCTGTGGACACCCCAGCCAGTGGCTCCTACCCTGAGCTGGGATCAGCTGCTAGTCCCGGCTGGGCTGGAGGCAGGAGAGAACAGGATTTCCTCTTCCCTGCAAGCAGTGGCTGGGGCTGTGTCAGACCCACCCCCAGAAACCTCCCCCAGCTGCAGGAAGCTCAGCATCCTCCCCTGCTTCTTGCCCCCATCACTCCCTAGCTGCAGGGGGAGGAGTCACTGCACAGGGACCTGCTCCCCCATTCTCCCAACCCCCGTGCATCTGGACCTCCCATACCCAGATACCTCCACCAAGCCTCACCCCCTGCATCCAGACCCCTTGCCTCCGGACCCCTGTACCCAAACTATTGCCCACTCAACACCATGCAATTAGACCCACAACTTGATGCCCCCCATCCGCCCTCCCACAGTCCGTCGTCC